GTTTCTCCGTGGCCTCCCAACAATTACTCCATTCACACACAGAAGCAGGCAATGGCAAACCACTTCTGGATCATCTGCCAAGAACGTATATGAACAGGTCCCAGTCCGAGAAAAGGATGGAAGGATCCTGTTCATATGGACCTGTTGTCAGACAGAACACTAAATAAAATAAATCTCGGAAATAGCTGCTGCCCTATGTACCTTAGGGACAAGGTCTGTCTCGGGTACATAGAAGTACATACCCCATAAAGTGGTGAAGAGATGGGATAATAATAATAATAATAATATTAATAATAATAATGGATGAAGAGTACAAATTATAAGGTCCCCCATTACAATTTATCACATCTCCTGTTACTTCCTCTCTCTTAGGTCCCAATAGTCTCCACAACAGTTTACAGCTCTTCCACGATTTCTAAACTTCCGATCTATGAATTTTCGCTATGTCGAATCATGCAAGTTCATACCTGCTTTTCAATTTCAGAACTACAGTAACTGCCGGATAGTGTGTTAAATTGGGCCACGACCGCTTCCTTCCACATCCTTTCCAATTTATTATTCACCATCATTCTCTCATTCGACACTAAGTATCCTGAGCTACTAAAAATCGTCGTTAAAGAAACTATAAATAAATACAGTAACTGGTGTACAATGTAAACTTTTGGTTTAACACTTCGATGGCACTTTACAATTATACAGTTAAACAAATAATAACTATCATACAAATTAATCTCATTTTTATGATTTTGAATTATTCTAGCATATGTGGGCAAAATACCGGGTGATTTTTCTGGGTGATGGGAAGCAGTCAGATCTTTTTACATTGAAATTAATGGAAATTTAATTTTCAATTTAAAACTTTTCACCTTACGAAAAGTTTTACGTTTCTGAGTCGAAAGATAGGTGAAATCTCACTTGATGTCCTCGAAGAAGGCGGTTGCGAGGGGGCCCTAACAGCATAACAATATCAACTGTGCGTCACATGATTGTACAGTTACATGTGCTGGTAACGACACACGAAGATTTATGTTGCAATAAATGTGTCATGCCAACCAAACCTGAATGTAGGAAAGCAAAACTTATCACATTTAAACGTGACTACCACTGCTTATATTATATGATGTTTAACGATGCTCACAATAACTCAGATAATAAATAGCGTCGAATGATAGAACGATAATGAATAAAGTGGAAATGATATGCAAGGAAGCGGTCACGGCCTAATTTAAAATACTATCCCAGTATTTGCCTTTGGAAAAAAACATGATAAATTTGCCAGGATAGCTGGGGTCCGGCCAAGATTTGACGTGACTTCAAGTACAGTGACAAAGTCATGTTTACAGTGGCGGGGTTACAAGTTTGAATTGCCGCCCCCCGCAACTACTAAAATATCTTGGGAAACAAAGAGGTTTTCTGTAAGAAAAGAAAAGGTTAATTTGAAACTTAAAGATGAAATGATAATGGGATGAATATGTCTATCACTTTTAAATGTATGAAATCAAATGTTTCTTGATAAATAATTTCTTTCAAAAAATCCCGTACAGCGAAAATATACAGAAAGCTCATTTTAGAACGCAGTCACTTTTCTTTTAAAAAAATCCTTCTGTTGAGAGAGTTTCCTCAGTGATTTAGAAATAAATTGCAGGAAACTGGGTTTAACTTTTTCCTAAACGTAAGTTCTAAGAACCGTTCGCCTATAGTTGCGTTTCCGATTCATTACACTGCCAGTCTCAATGAAATTTCTGATTAGGCGATCAACCACTCATTTGTCTAGCGCTATTTGTTTGGAAACACTTTTTGCGAATCTTGTTGACACAATGCACATGATTTGCTACAAAAATAATGCTCTACAACAAACATTCTTCGCTCAAAATTAAGAACCGTCTTCCTTAGCCAAAACAGCACACCGAAATGAGTTCTGACACATTGAACGAACGATGGCTCAATGCCTGAGTAAGGCCTTCTTCTGGTATGTTGCGCTGCGCACTATGGTGGAAGTTTACCGACTAAGAGTACCCCGTCAGAACCTGAAATCTCACCAGCTCTAAGCTTGGTTTCGATGTCAAGGTCAATTATTCCCCCACCAATGAAATTCTGATTTGTTGCATATCTGGCGGATGACCAATTCCGTCTCGTTTCTAGAACATATGGCGACTGTGCAGATTGGGTCGAGTTAAACCGAACACTGTATGGCTGTATCTAAAAAACAATGCTCAAATTAATGTAAACGTAATGAGTTCAAATAAAGTAGGCTACGTATTTGTAAAATCCCAACCTTCCTCTCCTCATTCTTCATTTATTATTCTTACGTTATTTAATCGAAGAAGGTGTTACAAAATACTTGCATATAGCATCGAAAGAGATGAGAAGATAACACTGAATGGTGAATAGGTAAGGTTTATAGAAGGAGGCAGTTGTTGTAGTCTCTTTGAACGTACATTCCTGGAATTCGTTTGGAGAGACAGAAAAATTATGAAAAACCTCACTGGAAAGTGTCCATCCTCGAATTGAGATTCAAACCTGGGACTTAACGAATACGAATCGGGAATGCTAACCATTACACTGCTGCAGTCACTGACTGATTATAAACGCTTACTGTCGGAGTAGCATACTTCAGCAATTGAAATGCACAATTAATAAACATATGTATTATGGATTTTAAATGAAAACACACACGCACTAATTTATATATGTCCTTGATGTGTAACTTGACTTTCTTTCACAGAGCAGTTACGGGGAAGTAGCAAGGATTCCCGTGGCCTGTTCTCCCCTCGCATGGAATATGACGAATGGACGCCTCTTGGACGAGGAGACCCCTTGAAGAACGATCCAACTTACGACTATGTGCCTCCAGTTCTGGAAAGAGTCCACTATTGGATCGAGCCATCGTCTCGGACTCCGGATCCACCGATTCCTGCCATCGGGTACGCTTCAAAAGACCCGGAAGTCAATAGAGTGTTTCACAAGAGACCTGATGATGTCCACAGAGAGACAGAAAACTCGTCAGCAGATTCCAGGAAAGACGTCTATGATCCTTTCTTTCTTAAACTTGTAGATGGACCAACATTCTCAACGCAACACCGAAATCAGCAACACTTCTACCACCACCATTACCTCGTACGGCCTTCCTCAACCGCGTCACAGCAACCAAACAGTCCTGCATCTATCCATCACTATATCTCCCCACATCACTCCCATTCATACCAACAGAAGAACCATCAGAAGCAGAGACCATATGAAAATTACCCTCTAACTGAAAAACAAAATCAGAAAGAGAATCAGAGGACAACGCTGGAGTCAGTTGAAAGTCAGGCAGAAAGAAAGCAAAATAGGCCTTATTTTGAGACTCAAAGTTTCCAAACAGAAGCGCATAACCACCAGGAAGAGAACCAACAACCGAGACCACCTTACACAATTCTGGTGCCTCCACCTCTGCAAATCCCAAATTCGTTCACTAGTATGTCAGACACCCAGAAACCGTTTCAAGTGGTAGAAATGAAAAAGGTAACAACAGAAGCCCCATCAAGAGACCACCCTTCTGTTACACCAGAACAAGCAAATCTTGTGTACCAACATTCCTCTACACTACCCACACTCGAATGGGAGGAAGGAAAGACACAGCTGGCAACCCTGGCAGAAATCAGTAGTCATGTGACCCAGAAAGCACCAACATCCACCAAACATGATAAATATCCCTTTGGTAACATTTACCACGAACCATTCAGTACCACAACTGTGCACCACCACTCACCAGACTTGGAAGTTGTGCCGTCGAAGGAGTTACATTTCAGTGACAGTAATAATATAAACTTACCCACACATCAACAACCCCTGCAGTGGAGTTCCAACATAATGGTAACAACAGTAGCAAGCAGCACTGTCTCCATGACAACAGCCTCTCCCCTGACAACAGATCCACTGTTTTCCCATTACAAGCAGCCTATAGAACCACTTCGAGGTCCAATGTATCTCATTATACAAGGACATTCAAAAGTGAAAACTTATGGAGCCACCAAACAGCAGAACTCTTATCATGGCATCCCGATACAAGAAAGCAATGATATTAATCAACAAGGCAGTGCAGAGAACAATGACAGAATTGGGAAGGCAGTAGAGGATTACAATGGGAATGAACCATTTAGAAAGAATATTTTCAATTCAGTAAGAAAAGAAACTACATACTTACAAAATCAAGACAATGCTAAAATCTCAACAAAAAAGAGTGCAAGTAATGAAAAACAAAAACACTTTGATCTTCTAGTTGCTGCAGCAAAATCCATGCCATTCACAGACGAAGATGTAACTCCAGCACGAAAAAAACGGCAGTTGACTTTGGATGATGTCATCCAATTTGATGACATCACAGCTGAAGAAGTATGAGCTCCAGACTTAAAGTCAAACACCTGGTAAAGAGACACATTCAGAGGTTCTTATTCATGAGTTAGAAGCATTCTTCAGCCCCAAACATGCCCTTCAAAGTGTAGATATATTTAAGAATGGCAATACTTTCTGAGCATCCAACAATGAGGCTGTTACATTTTTTAAAGTAGCAATGGTTCCTTATCATTCAACTCTGGAACTGTTACACTAAGAATAGCAATGGTCCTTGATCGTGTGACTGTCAAACTGGTACACTCTTTGAGAGTTGTGGTAGTTTCTGAGTATCTGACAATGGAACTGTTACACTATTTATAAGCAGCAATTGTTCCTGATTGTCTGGCTGTGGAACTGATACTTGGATTCAAGACGAGTTGTATCTAGTATGAATTTATCTGCAAGACGTTCCCTTACCTGACCATTGAAAAGAGGCTGAAGTTAGTCAGGAATACCAGCACCCCTTGCCATAGTTTGGATCACATGTTAAGCTATAGGTTTCCTCTCTGAACCGTCGTTTTCACAATCAGATTTTTGCATCTTTATGTCACTCAACACAAAAAAAAATTCAGGGTTTACAAGAAAAGGTGCAACATAAACCAAAACATTTACACAGGCCTACTTTAAAGCTTTCATTACAAGTGCTGACAATATATTCCTGATATTAAATGTTTATCACTAATACTACATACCTGATACTTAAAGCCATATTTTTTTAGAAGATCATTTGTATTTTACAGTCTACTAACTGAATGTTTCATATTTAGTACAACAAAGTTTAAGTCAAAAAATTATTTCACAGATATAACCAAATACCTATGAAAGTAACCAAAGTCTGAAAGATTTCTTTGATTACATAAACAAGCATGATCCTGAAGAGAAGTATTATTAGCAGAACCTTGAACTTTACAGCAGGCATGGAATTAATCGACCAGAACTTGCTAATTGACACATTCTCACATAACATATTTATTTGCAGACTCCATTTACTTGTCCTTTGCCAGTTCAGTAATGTCACATTAAAACATAGTGTTTATTTATTAAGAAGATAAGTTACAAAGTTCCTTAAATTCAATTAAAATATGTGAATCTATTTGCTAGTATATCAGTCTTTGCTCATCTTTTAATTAATTGCGCCAAGAAATGAAATTGCTTATTTCCTGTGTCACATATATTTAAAAATCCCCTACTTAATGCTTGTAATTACATGTATGTCAGATTAATCATCTACATACATCTTTAAACTTCATAAAAATATACAATAACAGTGCACTGTAACTAACACATGGAAGTTGGTGAACTGCATGAAACAAATAATGAATTATTTTACCTATCATTAAATTGAGGGTCTAAAAGAAGGACTATGGCTTCATATGTATCTTTTATATTGGCTGTTATAGTGATGATAAGCATATGGAATGAGATGTAAGTTTAGATCCTCTTTTCGAGTATAGAGATCTAGAAACAGTTCAGTGTGTAAAAAAAAGCTTTTGTTTTTATTTTATGACACTGTTTTCCACAAAAATATTTTAGGCTTAAAGCTAATTGAGAGTTTTAAATAAATTATCCTGAATATTTTATAATGTTATGTAAAATTTTGAATTGCACATTTTATAATGTGGCTATCTTGTAGAATCTGAAGATTGGTTGACAGAATTAGAGTGAACTGAAAATACAGTGAGTTTTCTAGACAGTGCAGTGATGAAGTCAACTTAAGCATTATGAGTAAACCCCATTTGATGTGGAGAGTGTCTGACTCTTCCATATCAGCCCATGTTCACAATAGGATCAAAGGAATTCACAGTAGGGTCTTGAAGTGATGGTTAAAATTTTATATACTGATTTAGTTTGAATAATTATGATATCCTTCGTCTTGATTTAGCTGTTATAGGATTCGGCCTTCAGGACTATTCCAGAACAGAATTAACTTCTGGATCTATTGTTCTTTTAGGAATTTGGTAGGAGTCCTTGAACAGGGGATCAGCCCATCGCAATGTATTTTACACAGAACAGCGTAATGCAGAAAATGTAAACAAACACTTATGACTCAACTGAGATTTAAAGCCATGTTCCCAGTGTCTGAGTTGTCAAATACAACCTTACACTGTGTTGCTGATAATAATATTGATCAATTGAATTAAACCTGATTACTTCTCTACATTAATATTCATACCCAACAAAATATAAAGGTTTTAAACATCAAATCTCTAATAGTATTAAGCTTAGGACAGGAAAAGACAATTATTAAGGTCTTTTCGGTTGCTGTCACAGTTTTTAATGTTGTATGGTCTAGAGCTGAAGACAAGAAAATACTCTGAGTAGTGAGGTGTTTTAATGAACTGGACAGTTTATGAGTGCAATGCATGAGTCAAGATGCAGCATGGCAGGTGATGATGAAGTACCCCTACAAACTACTAAAATACTCATAGCATTGTTGGTTTTCTGACTTTGTTCAGAATTGTGGTATGTAAAACATTTAGCACTGAAAAAACTTTTTGTTGGTGTGGTTAATTTTTTTTGGATTTCAAAATATTATAAATCTTAGGTTTCAATATCATTTATAATTACTATAAGTATGTGTACACACTACATAATTTTGGTACTGCGTAACCAACACTAGTTTCTTGTCAACCCTTACCAACTGTAGTGTCTATAATGTTTCATTAGTCTCATGCCGTCATAAAAATACAATATAGCAACATTGTGTGGGCATACAGTTGATTCAGGACACAGATGACAGCGCTCCTTAGTGAAGGGACATCTGATATGAAACTTGTTAACCCTTTAAAGCATGAAGCTCAGTTAAGAATCATACAAGACCTATAAATACACTCTTTGGGCAAAATTCATTGTCACTGATGTTGGAACGGGTACTACATATTGTTACCATTGCTCTTCAGAGTGTTAAATTGATTAGAATCAGTTTGAACCTTGTATAATAATTCATTTGAGTGTTCAGACTGCATTCAAATGGTGAGATTTTGTGAACATGATAATGAAGGTTTGTGGTTCATAAAAGGATACTTTTCTGACAAACTGAGTAAATGTTGACTTTTCAACAAAGCCATATACCTTTACAAATACCTGAACAAATAATTTGTAACAATAAAACTTCTTCTCTGATCATACTAATATAAAATATGAGATTAATATAGAATAAAAACTATTTTTAAATGTCATATTAAATTGTGTTTGTTTTCTGACTATAAAGCTATATTAAATATTCATAAGAGAACTTCCATTCAGTTCTCAAATTAAAGTTTAAATACATACAGATAAAGTAGTGCTAAGTTTATTACGTCGTATAGTGGCTCAATTGAAATATTAAAGAGGCTCAAGTGTCAATGTAAAATATATATGTATTAATTTATTAACGTAGTTTCACAAAAGCTTTAAAATACTTTAATTACATTTTAGACTAACTTTAGCTGAAAAGATATTTATGTTATTTTTAACATTTCTAAAGGTACGCCTAATGAAACAATAATATTCAGAAAGTTTCATTATAAATACTAGCACAGTTTAGTTGCTGCAAAAGCGTCAAATCAGATACCAGCACAATTCTAGCGTGCATTGCGCAAAGGACTTGGTAGTTCAAAACTCACATGACAGAGTTCCAGTTTGCATGAACATATGTAATTATTATAAAATTCTGAGGTGGAAGAAATTTATCAATTTGTCTACAGATTGTATCATCCACTTTTCACACTATTTGATTCTGTAGTCACATGGATTAATAAATTATTATAATATTATATTTCCATACAAATTTTCCATTTGGGTACTCAGTTGGTAATTCTAATATTCCAATATCAGCTCTTTTTCAATCAAATTACTGTATAAGTTACCAAATGTCACAGGTTTGAATTTCATATAAAGATTACTGTATCGTGTCATATAAATATGTAGAAAATAGCATAATCATGCAGATTCTGCTTTTCTGATTTCTGTACCGTGTACCTGAAATGTACTGTACATAGCTTTTAGTCCATCAACCAATGTGGTAGGGTCTTTTAGTGTAATATTATAATACATCATTACTTTGCTTCCAAAGCAATCGAGTTTATGATGTATGAAACAAATATGGTGACTTACGTATTACAGAGGTAATTTTAATCAAAAGCACTGAACGGCTTATTAATTAAATGATTATCGATTATCGAATATGCAATCATTGGTTCACTTAATGAATGAACCTTGTATCTGCCGCTTGATTTCCACCACATTGATGAAGGTAATTTTAGAAGCAAATATAAATTGGCACTGTATAAAAAAAGACTACCACTGTATAATAAAGCGCATTGTTAGTAATTTCTCAAGGTGTAACGTATAAAGCGATCTCTGTATGATTTGTCTCGTGACATATAAAAGACGGGGTAAAATAACTCTGAAGCACGCGTCATGTGTCGAAAGGAAACACTCGGATAACTAGCTACAAGGCAAGTATGACAACAGTAAAACGAGGGAGACAGATATTATTATATTATAAGGCCCCCTACGTTTCATAAACCTATAAATAAAAATTCTGTGACAAAACTCACGACTTCATGCTTCAGTAAGCATAAAATTGCCCACAGAACTTCGTTGTTTGAGAATATAATGCACAGGTTCCAAATTTCGTTGTGATCTTTTTCACAATTCCATAGTTTGCAATCTCAGCATTCGTGGATCTAGTTAGCCACTGGCCTGCCTGATTGTTAACATTGTCACATTTATAAATACGGCTTAAAAAGTTCAGTGTTGGTAAAACAAATAGTGTATGAAAATGATAGAATAAGAATTTTTATAACGTATGTTGTATTTAACAATAAGAGGAAAAAGTACCGTCAAACTATGTAGCAATTAGTTATGACACTGTTTAAGAAAATAAATAACGAAACATTTTGCATTTATTTGATGCTACATTCTTTCTAACACAGATAAATAAAAAAATCAGTAATGATTAATAGCCGCAAGCTTATTTTTACGTCAGTCCGTACTATTTTACCTACCCGTCTCCTATTTAAACATTTGAAACATAGGCTACAGAACTTCATGTTACCTACAGCCAGTCTGGACGTGGTGACAAAGAGGGGAAAAAACTATGCATCTGCCGGGAATCCAGGCCCGATATATCCCCATGCCCTCCTCACCCTCCATTTCCAAGCCTTTTATAACAGAAAGATTTACCGATACTTTCCTTGCAGACTCTGTCCCGAAAGAAATGTTGCATTATCAGCTTACTGCAACGAAAGATGGCTGTCTTCTCGGACGTTG